CAGATAACTGTGGGTCTATTTGCAGACCAAGTCTAGCGGAGCAAAGAATATACAGCAGTTAATTTCCTAGGGTGGGCCTTGGGAATGGGGTTGCAAGTCAAAAAGGCTCTAAAAAAAGAGAGTGAAATGAGGCATAATCTGAAAGGATAAATGAGAATTTGCCAATAAGCCTGAAGAAAAACATCTTGGGAACAGGGAAACAGCTAACACTGAGCAAGGAGTTATATAAAAATAAAATGTGGCACTTATACCAAAAAGTGTTGTCTGGTTAAATTTAAGGTTTTGTTTTTTTTTTAAATTAGAGGAGTGAAACCATCAGACTTATATATTAGATAGATATTTCTAGTTGCAAGATGGATAGAAAGGGTGTCAGACGAGGCAGGCCATTGCTTAGACATTATATTGGATAAGTGATGATTTAAAGGGGGTGAAGTGTAGGCGAAAAGAAGTGGGCAGCTTCAAGAAGTAGTTAAGAATTAAAATTGATGGACTGAAAAACAAATTGGAGGAAGAAGGGTTAAGAATTTTGATTTAACCTGCCAGTGCTACCATTATATGAGATCTGTAGCATATGAAGAAAAGCAGGGTCTGGAATGGTGTCATATACTGGATTTAGTGTTGGAATGTTTAATTTTAAGATGCTTTTGGGAAATCCATGTTGAGCTATCCAATAGTTCAGGTGATTAGGAGCGACTTCTAGGCTGAAGATGAGGATATGAGATTCATTGTGTAAAAATGGTGGTTGACGTCTGCTGTGAGCCTGAAACTAATATAAAAAAATAAAGTCTATTAATTAAAATTTTTTAAAAAATGGTGGTTGATGGTGTTAGACTGGAAGAGGAGTGAAGAATAGGATTGGAGAAGAGGAATAAGGATGGAATTGCATTGAAGTGGTAGGGAGGTAGAGAAGGAGGATCTATCTAGTCAAGGAGATTGAGGAGTTGCCAGAAAGAAAGGGACAAAGGATAACTAACTAAATAAAAAAAAAACCTGAAATAGCACCCAAAGTAATAAAATATCTGGGAATAAATCTAACCAAGGAGGTGAAAGAATTATACACAGAAAACTATAAACCATTGATGAAGGAAATTA